AAAAAAAAAAAAAAAAGTAATAATGAAATAAATCATGACGGCCTGAATTTCATTGGCTGGCTTATATATAATCTTCTAGGTTTACCAGAAATGATGCATTTTTAGATCATCACTTCTTCTAAAAAAATGTTTATTGGGGCGCCTGGGTGGCGCAGTCGGTTAAGCGTCCGACTTCAGCCAGTTCACGATCTCGCGGTCCTTGAGTTCGAGCCCCGCGTCGGGCTCTGGGCTGATGGCTCAGAGCCTGGAGTCTGTTTCCGATTCTGTGTCTCCCTCTCTCTGCCCCTCCCCCGTTCATGCTCTGTCTCTCTCTGTCCCAAAAATAAATAAACGTTGAAAAAAAAAATTAAAAAAAAATGTTTATTCATTTTGGGAAGAGCGCAAGTGCGGAAGGGGCGGGGGGGTGCGGACAGAGGATCCGAAGTGGGCTTTGCACTGAGGGGCTGACAGCCGCGAGCCCGGTGAGGGGCTTGAACTCATGAACCGTGAGATCATGACCTGAGCAGAAGTCAGATGTTCAACCGACTGAGCCTCCCAGGCGCCCCCGGATCATCCCTTCGTAGCACCAACCAGCCCCTGCTCTCCATTGTTTATTGTAGCCAAGCGAATCCAGCCCTGGAATGATGTCTCTGGTGCCAGCAAACTACAAACAAAACCAATCGCCCTGTGCCGGCAACATTGTTTCACTGTTACCTCCTTCATCTCCTCTATTCTTTTGCAATTACTTTAATTAGCACTGCTCACTTAATGGGACCTTGGAGGTTGGAGCCAGGTGGTGCCATTAGTTAAATCTGGAAGACTCTAATGGAATTGAGTTCAAACCAGGTTAAGAGTAAGAGAATTATAGATCTCGTGGCACACTGCTTTGTGTGACCTTTGGCGCCTTGGAAGTTACTGCTGGCTCGAATCGGAAAGAGCTTGGATGAAGGTTCCGAGAGACCACGTGTGCGCCTGTCTGGATGCTGCAGTTCGGCACGGACAGGACAGGCGTGTCCCTGCCTCATGGAGCGTGTAGTCTAGCGATGAAAGACGATATCAAACAAGCAAGCAAGACCGCCAGGCTTTGCGATGAGGGCTCGGAAGGGAGGAAGGGGAGAGCTGATGTGGAGGGGTGAAGGGTACGCGAACTTTAGGGGTGCTCGGGAAAGCTCTCCAGGGAGATGCTACTTAACGCTGCTACCCGAATGATGGGAAGGAGCTGACCTGGGGAAAACACAAGGAAGGAAGGCCCTCACTGTCAGAAGGAATCGGGCACAGAAGGGCTCTGGAATGGAGGTTGTTTTGTGTCCCCAAGGAACTGCGAGGGCACCTGCATGACCGGGACCCGTCCAGGAAGGCCGGTGGCCCGAGGGGAGGCCGAAAGCTGCTGGGTCCAGAGGTGTTGCATGGGGCAGACAGACATTTAGACCCTGAGATTATCAGGGATTTTTAAAAGTCTTTGTTTATTTATTTGTTTATAATTTATTTATTTACTTACTACTTTTTTTTTTTAATATTTATTTATTTTTGAGAGACAGAGGGAGACAGAGCATGAGCAGGGGAGGGGCAGAGAGAGAGAGAGAGGGAGACACAATTCGAAGCAGGCTCCAGGCTCCGAGCCGTCAGCACAGAGCCTGACGCGGGGCTCGAACTCACGGACCGCGAGATCGTGACCTGGCTGAAGTCGGACGCTCAACCGACTGCGCCACCCAGGCGCCCCAAGATTTCATTCTTTTTGATGGACCTTTGGGCTCTTTCCATGGCTTGGCTGTTGTTGATAGCGTTGCCGTAAGCACTGGTGTGCATGTGCCCCTATGAATCAGCGTATTTGTGTCTTTTGCACACAAAACTAGCCGTGCAATTGCCGGGCCGTAGGTAGTTCGAGTTTCAATTTTTCGAGGAACCTCCGCACTGTTCTCCAGAGCGGCTGCACCGGTTGGCATTCCCACCGGCAGTGCAGGAGGGTTCCCGTTTCTCCGTTTCTCCGCGGCGTCCTCGCCGACACCTGTTGTCTCCTGAGTTGTGAACAGCCTTTGTGGCAATGTGCTGATGAATGGGATGTGTGCAAAGAGCACCCTTGGGCTCGGGGCGGTAGATGTGTGTGAACCGGCCGGTAGGCGAAGTCATGAGACGCACGATTTTGACCCTTTGTGCAGAGGGCAGGCAAAACAGAGGCAATATTTTGATGGATCACGTTGCCTCCTGTGGTAGCGTCCATTTAACGCTTGCCCACCCCACTTTCGCTAGGGCACAGCGGCGGTGGTCAATGGACCCCGTGTCTCCTCCTCCTCCTCCTTCCTGTCTGTAACAACGGGCCTGCCTCTGACCAGCATCCCTCCCCGCACCGCGTCCTTGGTAAACGGCCGCAGTCTCACTGAGTACAGGAGATTCGTCTCTATAACATGGGTGGGTCTCATCCGATCAGTTGAAGGCACCAATCGACAAAAAATGACCTCCTCGGAGCAGAAAGGAATTGGGCCAGCAGATTGCCTTTGAATTCAACTGCAACTCTCTTTGGGTCTCCAGCCTGCTGGCCCACCTGGCAGATTTTGGACTCTCTAGCCTCCACCGTTAGGTGAGCCAATTTTTTAAAACAAATCTGTCTCTCTCTTTTTCTGCTTCTGTCTCTGTCTGTCTATCTGCCTGCTTCTCTAAACACCCTGTTGGTTCTGTTTCTCTGTAGAACTCTGATTAATAACACACTGCAGGGGTGCCTGGGTGGCTCAGTCAGTGAAGCATCTGACTTCTTCAGCTCAGGTCATGGTCTTGAGGTTTCTAAGTTTGAGCCCTGCATCAGGCTCTGTGCTGACAGCTCCGAGTCTGGAGACTGTTTTGGATTCTGTGCCTCTTTCCCTCTTCCCCTCTCTGCTCCAGTCTCTCTCTCTCTCAAAAATTAGCCTTAAAAATTTTTTTAAAGTAGCTCACTTTATATTTTACTATTTATGCCCATTTCACAGACGAGGAAGTTGAGGTTCAGAGGCATCGAGTGCTGTGCACAAGGGTAGACGCTTGATGCGTGTGGAGCCGACATTCCGGGCTAGGTCTTCCTGAGCCACAGCACAACGCAGCTTCTCATGCACGAACATGCACCGTTTACTATAAAGTATCTCTCGCTTTTAAGACTCACCAGCGACGTTGGGCTCTTACGCCACGTGAAAATCATCAGCACGCACACACCTTTTGGTCTAGGTGATGTGCACAAAGGTCCGTTAGCAGAGAAGCCCGGTCACCAGGAAGCTTCCTGCTGCACATGTACTTGCCTGACACACTTAGCTCCTATACATCAAATTATCTCCTTTGCCGCCATCGTTTCGAAACACATCTTGCGGTAGCCACACCGTTTCCGTACGCATCAACCGCAAGATCTTTAGGAACGGGAGGGGGAACCAAAGGGACGACCGTTGAAAATGCACGGTTTTGCCGAAAATACGATTACACCCCCTCCTTCTACACATGCAACCGAAAGGAAGAGACGGAAGCAGCACATGTGGATGAAATTAAGACGGAAAAACAAACAGCACACGCGGGGGCCCCGGACCTCCCGATGTCTTTGGCCGTGGGCTAAAGTCCCCCACTGAGGGCAAAACTTCAAAAGTAGCCTCAACCTGGCCCGTTTCCATAGGAAAAGCCAGCAGCAAATATTGACCCCAGGATCAATGGTTTCTGTCGAAGCCGCAGCAGGCAGGCCAGAGAGGCAGGGGGAGCAGCAGGCAGGCGGAGAGAGCAGGCCAGGTCACACGTGATCAGGGGCCGCTTCGTCCAACGCCGAGAAACGATCTCGCTGCCTCTGAATTAAAACTACTCTCCCCCGAACGGAGAAGATGGTGACGAAGATGCCGATTCTTCTGGTTCTTGCAGTGAACTTCCTGTCTTGTGCAGGTAAGCAACTCGGCGCCACGGCCCCCTGCCCTTCATGCTGCAGGTGCCGTCCTGGCCCGGGGCGGGGGCGGGGGGGTTGGGGTTCTTGTCTCACTGTGTCCCCCGTGTCCACTCGCGTCCAGGTTTCCCGGTGTATGACTATGACCCGTCCTCCTTACGGGAAGCCCTCAGCGCGTCCGTGGCCAAAGTCAACGCCCAGTCCTTGAGTCCGTACCTGTTTCGAGCCTTCAGGGGCTCAATTAAAAG